ACACGGCGGTGAGCGGCCCCGAGGCGGTGTCTGCCGGGGATCCAGCACCGCGCTCCGCGCCCCGCTCCACGCTCCGCTCCCCACCATGCTGGGGCTGCTGGGGCTGTTGGGGCTACTGGGGCTCCTGGTCCTGCTCGGGGGACGGCGAGCGGCCGCTCCCGGCGCCTGGGCCCCGCTGAAGCGCTGGGCCCTGGGTTGCCTCCTGCTTTTCCACGGCGCCGGGAGGCAGCGGGCGGCCGGCGGAGGTCCCGCGGAGACACGGCGGCCCCGGCCGCTTCGCCCCGACCCCCACGTGAGTGTCCCGTGTGTCCCCTTTACCCCCCCGGTATCCCCAATCCTGGGACCCCCTTCCCCGGGACCCCCTTGCCCGGGACCTCCTTCCCCGGGACTCCCTTCCCTGTTATCTCCCTGCACCCTGGCACCCCATCCCCAGCATCTCCCCCCACCCCACGATCCCTGGAACCCCCATCCCCTGGGACCTTGCACCCCCCCCGGAGCCACACCACCTCCATCTGCGGAACCCACGTCCATCAGGGACCTGCAGCCCTCTGCATCCCCTGCACCCCAGCACCTTGCATCCCTCTGGGACCTGCATCCCTCGGGGACCCCCATTCCCTGCATCCTGGTGCCTGGCACCCCCACTGCCCAACCCCTGAAGCCTTGGGACCCACACCTTTTCTCCCCCTACCCCCCCCATCACTCCAACACATCCCAGGGAGGGCAGGTTGGGGATGTCACCTTGGCTGTCCCTTGCAGGGTTATCTCAAATCAGACCAGCTGATGTCGATGGGAAAAAGCAGGCACACTGCGGGACACAGAAGCCTTTGATTTTAGCACACTTAACTGAGTTGAATCTAATTTTCCAGGTGGACTTGTCTGCTTAATAAATAATAAACCCTCTACCTACAACCTGCACCTTGCCTGTGTTCGTGTACCATCCCATCAAAATACTCACTGTACCTATCGGGGAGATTTGGGTGGGCTTTGCTGTGTTATTTGGTGAGAGGGGGAAGCAGAAGGGCTGATGAGACAGGATTTCCCTCGGTTTTCCTTGCCTCGTCAAGATTCAGCTTGCAGATGCCAGCTGAGATTTTGGATGCTAAGTAATTTCGGTGAAAAATCAACTTCTTGCTAACATTTCCTGGAGCCTTCTGGGAATCCTTAAGTCATATTATTTAACAAATGCATTGAGGCTTCTGCTTAGCATTTAAAAAAAGAAGCTCCTTTCTCTAGCTTTTCCTTTCTACTAATTAAGCTGCTGCTTGGAGCGTTTTGAAGTGTTTTGCCAGTCTTGACCAGATTTGATAGGGCAGGAGTGACACCACCTTCCAAATCAAACTGACATCCAGGGTGGTTTGAGATATAGCCAAGGGCTCTGTGCTTTCCTCTCTGCTCCTCCAAGCAGCAGCACTGGAGCAACACTTACAAGAGAGGTCTAAAAATGGATCTGGAAAATACTTCCAGAAATGATGTCTCTGAATTTTTGCACTGGCATCCAGCAGGCTCACTCTCTGTGTATTTCCAGACCCTGTGCCCTCAAAATCCCACCTTATCTGTATGCATAAGGGCAATAATAATCTGATTTTAGTATCTTTTTTGCATTTTACAGTGAATAATTTTTCGGAAGCAGAACTTCATCCATGCCCAAAGACGCATTCATAAATCTTACTTTCCATGTTCCAGCTTGTAAAACATCCCTTTGAGCGGGTTCTGCACAAATACGTGAAGATATACATCTGCATTTGAAGTTGTGGACTTCTGTGCCTAATAATAGTTTTTGAGATTCGTGGTGTTAACTGGCCCTACAGCAGCCCAGCTGCTAATCATGTTAGTAAAGTGCTGGTTTTCCTCTGATTTTCTTTCTTTCTGTTCCTTTTCCCATTTTAGTTCTAAGTTTCCCCTAAGTATAAGTTGTCCTATATACAGTTTGAAGCTAGGTGGGGAAACAGCATGGCTGTGGCTCAATTTCATCCTCGCAGACACTCTTTTTGAGGGCACATTTCATAAGGATTTTGGTCAAGGGAACTTCTCATTGCAAAATAATCATCTTAATTCAGGATATTTCACCTTGTCTGTGGCTATCACGCAGTAATTATGTTCCCTCTCTAAAACTGCTTCTTGTCTGCTCCCTCTCTGCTTTCTGTGTCTGCCCTAATGAGGAAATGGGCAAATGAGAAAGGAAAAAGGCTTTTGTGTCAGTGTGATTATTATATGCCAGATTGCCTAAATGTTATGGACCTCTGTCATTTTCTGAGCCCATGGACTGTCCTGTGTTATGAATGAGGCTTCACTGCTGCTAGCAAAACTCTCTGGCCGTTTGCTGGGCTGCCTGCTATTAAATATAAAAAGTGAAAGTAAAATTTGATTTCCGAGAAGAAACCTAGGGAAAACAAAGAATTACTCATCTTCTTCCCCTCCTTTCCTGCCTCCACCTGGACCTAAAATCCATTTCCCTTTCCCTAGGCACTCGATTCGGTTTACTTCACTGGCTTTGCAGAGACCAACAAGACCTTTGTGATTGCTCGTCTTGCGAAACGTCCCAATGGGATCTGTGAGATGTGGCTCTTCCTGAGGGTGGATGGAATAGGAGAGTTTGAAGTAAGTGGTGGATGTGGGATGACATTGAAGAGCAGTGCTTAACTCCTATCTTGAAGCCATGTTAGGATCCCAAGCAAAAATTAATGTCCTCTGCATCTTCACTACATTAACATCCTAACGATAAGACATCAGTGCTGTGTCTAAAGGCAGTGTAGAACTGGCCAGATTACTGGTTATGTCTAATTTTTTGAGTAGGTACCTGACACTCATTCCCTTTTTCCCCTAATGTGCACAAAACGTATTTTCTGAAAAGTGTCTTGGTAAGTATTCCAGGAAGAATTTGAGCATTCAGTCTTTCTGATAATGTGCAGCACCTGGTTAATAAGTTACGTTGTATGGTTATGGTTCATTTTTTTCCCCCTTTTTAATGAGTGAATGCTATAAAAAACATTGTGGAATTGCCTCCATAAAAGAGAAAGGAAAGCTTTTAGGGAGTTATATGTACATCTGCTTCGTTCTTGCTAAAAAGAAAACAGTGTTAATCATATATTTTGACTGTGGATTTTCTTTTTTCTTAATAGCTGACTACATAGTAAAGAAGGAGGGAAGATCTGGCATAAATCCCTTTTCACTCAACTATGTTTATGTTCACAAATTTGTTTCACTAAGTAGCCATGATCAGAAAAAGCAGGAGACATCCTATTTGCAGAAAATAATAAAAGAGAAGATTGATATGCATTATTTTGTTTTCTAGTAATATTTAGTATAACGATACTACTTTGTGGCTTTGTTACTTAGAACTGCCAGCCAAGTTCAGGACCTTCTTAGATCCTTCCCTACAGCAACAGGCTTAAGCTCTCTTTTAGTAAGGTGGCAGCTTAAGGAAACAAGACATGGTTTTCAAAGAGCAGCTAAATAGTTTGGGGAGCTTGCATGCAGTAGAAATTTAAATCATTTTAGAGTTTCATCAGATTCAGTCTTAAAAATAAATTTACTCCCAAAGCCCTGTATCAGCTTGGCTGTAAGCTTGACAGTCACTAGCGTAAGGAGCTGAGTTCTTGCAGTGACCTCCCATCACACAAGTAATTCAGCTGTATTATCTGAAACAATCCTGTGTTATCTTATAACTCAGGTGGTTTAGATGCAATGTCCCCTCTCTGAAAATCTGATTACCAGAAAGCAGGTAGAACTGAAAAGCCAATTCAACCAAATGTTCCTCCTGCAGAGGACCGTCAGAGCAGGAGTTCACCCACGTTGCATCCTCACAATTGAATTAAGCAAATGTTTTCCTGAAATGTCTTTTTAGCACCCACAACATCCAAACATGATGGTGAGTGATGAATCTGAAGAGATTTGGAGTGGAGGAGGGCTTACTATTGAATACTTAGAGCCCCAAACACGCTGGAAAATAAGCTTCGACGGATTACTCAGGTATTGCAGCACTCTATAGTTTCATTTATGTACACTGAAGACTAAGGCTTTTTGAACACTGTCTGGAAATACATTTAACTGTCTTGAACCAAAAGCTATTTGGTAACAATAGCACGCATTGGTTTTTATGGAATGAAAATACAGCTACTAATACATAGCATTACTATTCTACCTTAGCACACAATAGTATCATTCTTCTGCAGTCTCTCCTATTGCATCCATTTACAAAGATGTAAGAAACATTTTGCTGTTTGTTTAGGAATGATACGCAATCATAGTGCTTTGCCTTACAGAAAAGGACCCTACCGACAGCAGTGGAGCGAAGAGGAAGGTGAACTTGTACCAGTTAAATTCTCTTTCCAGTAAGAGTGTTTCACATTTGCTTTGGGATGTATAGTGAGTTCATGGTTAGAGATTTGGTTATGGTTTTCAAAGGGTCAAGTGCACAGAGTAACACATGAAGCCCTCACCTCTGCTTTCTCTTTCCGTTTATGGACTCTGTTTGTCTGATAAAAAATTATTTGCTGTCAAAGTAGCACAGCATGTCTGGAGTAATGCTGTATTTGTACCTCTGAACAGACTACATGAGAGAAAGCAGTATGCTTTTCCTTGGGGCTCTGCCCTGCTGGCTTCCCTTCCTAGGTAATCTGTTGACTCTTGTAGGCCGTTGTTGCTCTTCTCGGTTTCCTTTTCTTTGCCTCCTTGAAAAGTAGTTACATATTTAAAATGACGAAAATCAGCATTTTTCCAATAATCATAAAATACAAAGAGTGCCACTGTCAGGGTAGCAAGTGCACAATTTGGCCTAGTGTGACCTGAAAGCTAATAATGTCTTTTATTTTTCCCCTTCTTTTCCTAGTTGGGAGAACTTCACAGAAGTCTTTAACTTTAGTGTCGACAGTCACCCCAGCACATTTGCACGTGCATTTGCCCAGGAACCGTGGACCATCGAGTTCTTCCAGAGGGTCAAAAAGTGAGAGGCGAGATTAATTTCTTCTGGGGTTAATAGTAATTTTTCTACGGATCTCTTCAGGGTCTGTCATATGTTGTTTTAGGTGATTTTAGAAGGTGGCTTTAATTTGAATTGAGCTAATAAAGAGCATGGCTCCTGTCAGGTGTCTCCTGGATTCATTACCACACCAGACCTGGCAACCTCTAAGGAGGATCCTGCACACAGACAGGATCTTCCTAATATCTCCTTCATTTTGGGATATAAGTCCATCAGATTGGCATTGAGGCTGCTTGAATAGGAGAATCATTGATTTTGCCTGTGCCAATTCACTCTTTTCTTTCTTCCAGACAAAGGGAACAACATTTCCGACATGAGCAGTGGGGCCAGTCTGTTGGAGAAATTGAAATAAAAAATCATGAGAAAACCGAACTTTCCCTCAAAGGCGTTCGGAGCCACTCTTATGGTAACAGCACCAGAAGCAATTCACTCGGTTACCTTCCCTATAGCTGGTACTGGTAGGACAGCGGGACTAAAGATTATCTTTAAAAATAACCAATTTCATGACTGGGCTTGGAGTTAAGACATTTCAGAGGAAATGCCATTACAGTTCTGGGGACATGCATATGCTTCCCGTGTTATCAATTACAGGATATCTCTTTATCCAAAGTTAATGTCAAGTCAGGTGCTATTAGTTCATGTTTTCCAGCAATGGTGAACTTTAGGGTGGGTGATTTTGTTCTTTTTTGCAGGTATCCGGGACTGGTCTGAGATTTACCGTTACGTCATGATTTTGGCACACTTTGAGGTGGGTATTAACATGCCAATATGCTTCTTCACCATGAAAATGGTGATGTTCCTGAGCTTGTCAGTTGTATTTAAATAACTAGAAATAAGGCATTGGGAGCATCCACGGTGTGCAATCAGAAGTTCTAACTGGTGCCATCATGAGCCCATATCAGTGTTGGGAGCAGCTCTCAAAAGCAGAGCCGTGTTTGTAAAAACTGAGATTTTGCTGCACGAGTTGAACCAAAAGTTGTTTTGGTAACTTGCAACTGTCTGTTTTGGCTTTTTTTAAGAAAAATTAGATAGGCAGCTTTACAGGACAGATTCTCGGCTGCCACAAATACCCAGCACTCTGTGGAGTTTGTGCAGTGCTGATTCACACTGATTGAGAGCCTGAGGTGTTTGAAGGCATCCTAAGCCTTCATGACAGCAGTCGGCAAATATTTCTGCCTGTGCTGAGCTCTAATTCTTTGCTTTGCCGTTGTGGCTACGCTGGAGGAGAGTCAGCGCTGTGGCTGCTGGGAGCACACAGCCTGGGGAAATGCTGAATGCTGACCTTACAAGCTGGCATGCAACCCAAACAGATGCTCCTGAAAAGGCCTTCCTTTGCTAACGCAGGCGTAAAGAAATCTGAACTCTCTATTATAGGCAGCATTGCAGGAGTTAAGGCTGAATTCAGAATAAAAGTTCTTTTCCCAGATATGTGGTGGCCAGCACAAAAACTCACCTTGGAAAATCTCGCGTATGTGCAGATCTGGTACTTGCTGTGATTTAACATATACCTGTGTACCTTTTGATAAGACTGTGCTTTTGCACTGCGATGTATATAATCAGGTAGTAACCTCTCCCTTTTCTTCATAGTTATTCAGGACTCAAAATAACTGTGGCTCTTCCTCTCCTAATTAAAAGCTATCTGACTGTTTCTTAAGAAGGAATTAAAGTTTACCGCTGATTGAAGTTTGGAGTCCTCATACCCTGAGTGTCTGTACATATATAACATCACAGCCTAGGCTTTTATTTGCCTCAGAGCAGCCCAAGCGCAGCATGAAGAGATTCAGACTCAAGGATGGAAGAGAAATGAATAAAAACATGAGATTCCTCTTTCTCAGTTAACATTTTTCCTGTATGCTGCTCTCAGACATAGAATAATATAGGTTAAAAGAGATTTCTGGTCAAAGCAGGGCCAACTTTGGTAGCTTGCCCATCAGTTTTGAACATGGCTAGCTGACTTCTGTGCAGGTATTGTTTCCCTCCTCCTCTTATGTCTGCTTGCTGTGGACTTTCTGTTGTCCTTAATGTCCTTAATTTGTCCTTAATATGTTTGGTTTATATTCTTGGACTCTCATTTGCAGCCAGATTTTCAAGGATGATGTATTGAGAAGATTTAAAAGTATAAAGTCATAGCACGTTGCATAACCTGAGATATATCCAGTGTCATCTTGGTCAAGTCAGTGTATGACCCACAGAAATGAGTCCGCTCAAATTAGACTGCTTTTTCTTTATCGCTCTCTTACAGGATGGGACTGCAGCACATTTAACAGTTATTAATATGCCAGCTACCACAACTAAGTAAGTAACCACAGAAGTTTAAGCTGCTAAAAACATATGTCTTAAAGGTGGCAGAAGTTGCTCTGCAGGATGCTTATATGCACATTCTTGCTTTGAACCCGTACAGCCCAATTTCCATCCACACCTTGCTCCCCACTCCCTCCACCCAATTTTCCATTTGAAATCAGTCACAAGGACAGCTTTTACCTTCAATTACTTCCTTTCCATTCAATTACTATTTGGCTGATTCAGCTGCCTGTCTTTCTGTCTAGATGAGTTAGAGGTACAAATTGAGCACTTCCAGCTATTTAAGAAGGTGTGTCTCCATAGTAGGGCATTATGCAGGGAGCCCTGCCTCGCTGACTGGTGTTCTCTGCATCCAGAAGCTTAAAGACCAGCATTCATGGCCGTGGGACCAAGTGGGACCAAGTGACCTGCCTGTCCCACCTGCCCACCACAATCCTTCCTGCAAGCCTCATCTTTCCTGCATGCGTGGCTTCCCCCGCTCACCATTTGCAATATCCCACAATATAACCTTTTTTATTTATTCCTGCTGCTTTCCAGGGATGAAGGCCATGCTCAGCGTTGAGCTCCCCTGGAAGGCCAATGTGCTGGTCCATTTGAGTTTTGGTTGAACGTTACATCTGCTCCATTTCTTTCCCCTTCAGCCTCACTGTAGGTTATGTCTTTTTCCCCGATGGGAGGAAGGCTGGCATCGAGTGGTCCAATGCCTCACTGGCTGAGATGGCTGATGATGGTGTTATCAAGGATGAATATGGAGTCAGTTTTACTGCCGGTAAGCTAAATATAGCCCAACTATATCTGCCTTCAGCTTTTTGGCATGCAGCTCATTTGCTGGAGGAAAGACTATTCGGTGAAATTCCATGTGATCCTTGGAGCAAGTTGGAAAGCTAAATGCATCATCCTACACCCTGAGAAATTTACCTCTGTGCTTAAGTTAAGTCATATGTAGTGTGCCATTGGTGAAATGGTGTTGTGTCCACTGCAGGATCAGGGCCACAGGCAGTTGTACCAGAGGGAGAGTTACAGTTTCTATTTGTGGTGACTGTTGCTTATGCTAATCCAGATAAATGATGTGATTTTTGCTTTTTTATATGTCAAAACATGTATTATGAGGCGGATTCAGCTGCTCTGGAAATAGAGCTTGATCAAAGATTTTACTTAATTTGCAAAGCAGACAGGAAAACTATTGCTCTTATTGCATAAGAAGAAACCATATGCAAAAATAATAGATCTTGGGATTTTTTGAGGTAAAATACTACTGAAGGTTGGAGACATTCTTCCCTTTTTACTCCTATCCAAGGTGGCAAGTACTTTGATGTTTCTGCAACGCTGGATAAGCAAGCTTGCCCCATGGTGTATAATGGCCTGACTGGAAGCGGCGTTTTCCACGAGTGCATTGCAGATTTCCGACTGAACGGGTTAACACAAGGCTGGGGCTTGGTTGAATTTTATTACAGGTAAAATAATGACAGGCAAGAAGAGGTAAAGAATTCCTATCCTCCTATATTGAGGTATGTGGCTACAGCTCCACCGATATTTGAAGCATAAATGCACAGATTTTTTATCTGATGTAAAGATATGTTGTTCATTTAGTTAAATTGACAAACACTCTATATATTATTTGAAAAAGAATGATTGTGCAAGCACTTCATACATACAGACAAACCATGGGCACTTGTTCAGTTGTTTGTGGTATAGGTTTATGTAGGATTTTGTATAGGTCTCCATACATGAGTTGATGGATGGTCCATTCTGGAGATTCTTATTTAGGCAATCGGTCACATTATAAAAATAATTAGTCCTCTGCCCCAAACAGCAGGCTAACCATTTGCAGGGTGAAATTTGCTCACGCAAGTATATGTCAGACTAGAGCACAGAACAGATAAATGTTCAGAAAATCAATACAGGAATGCCTCTTTTAGGGGAAAGGATTATATCGAGAAAGTCTGTGCTTCTTAGTGAAGCGCTGTTTCTCCTGCCACGTGATTGTCACAGTCTTTTTACCGGAGCCTTTTCCCTATTGAGTCTTTTCTCTCATGAAAAAAAGGCAAGTTTGGTTGTTTACATTCAGTTTGCTTTTTAAAAATAAACACTAATTCTTGGCTGTCAGAGGAAGTGCCATAGATGACTTTCAGGAGATTGAGAGCTCAGCTTCTTCTGAAAACCAGACATATTTGAAGCACATCAAATAGGCCACTAAACTGCCAAATGCCCGCTGGTTGAACTTAAGAACCGTGGCTGTAGCTGCTGCCAGGTACCTGCTCCACTCCCTTCACTGACTGTCAAAACCTGCATGGGGGAGGAAGTGACCCAGCACAAAAAATCTCAGCTAAAACCCAAACAAGGCACCTTCTGCAAGTCTGGACAGTCCTGGACATTTCTAGATCCGCCCCAGGAAGGCTTAATTTGGCAACGCTGACAAAATTCCCGTAGGCTCCCGTCTCATATCTGCTTCCAAATCAAAACCATGTTAGAAATTAAAGAGTGGGTGTCTGGTTCTTCCCCCTCGCCGCAGGACGCCAACTCACCATCGCTGCTCTTCTTACAGGGATGAAGCCGCCCAGCTGGTTCCAAATTTGCAGCTTGGTTCAAAAGCCAAATGACCCGAACTTTCCTCCTGGCACCCTGCGACCGACAGCTCTCCCCCGTGAGCATTTGCAAGCTTGTCCCAGCATCGTTAGCAAGCAGCAGCTTTCAAAAAAAAAAAAAGTTACTCCCTGCAAAATGCAGTTTTGGGCGTGGAACTCATTGTCACAGGATGCTGTGGAGGTCAAGGGTATAAAAGGATTTGGAGAGAAATGAGATACATTTTTAGTTGTGCAGCTTTTAGTAGTTGCTAACCATGGTGGTCTGGAGGCAATTTAAAGGAAACCTCTGAACAGCCGATTGCAGGAAGAGTGCACTAGGAGGGATCGCTCTGTGCTCTGTCTTTTGGTATTTTTCCTAAACTGCCAGCTGCTCCCCACCGTGAAGACCAGGACACTGGGCTATGTGGATCTCTGACCCAATTTAGCAGTTCCTCTGTTCTTTCAGATTTGTTTTTGAAATAAAAGCTCTATCTTTCCGAACTCTCTGGGTTTTATAGTCATTAAAACATGGGAAAAAGCTATTAGAGGAAATGACACTGATTTGATAGTCTTGTCTGTGACTGTATGAGAGCTGAACTGGAACAAGTAGGAGAAAGCACATCTAAATGAGGTGTCTTCTAGGAGTAGCATTAATGGCCAATTAAATAAGTGGTACAAACATATTTTTCCCTGGTCTGAAGGAAAGCCAGGGCCTGGTAGTCCAATTTAGAAGATCTGAATTTCTCATCATTCTCTTGAACTTAGATGCCATATTAATCACAACATTCCTGTTAGTCACTGATAGCTGCTGGCCCAAGGTAGCCTACAGTGTATTCCCTACCTAGATGCATCTTGCCATTAAATACTGAAAATTAAACAATACTTATGATATGTCAAGAAAAAATAGTTATGTTGGAAGATCTGGATAGAAGGAATTAAGGAAAGATGCCTCATTCTGTGTACCAGGCAGCAACGCTATGCAACTCCTGGGAATATCATAAGGATATGTTGTAATAGTACCTCCACTCCGTTTAAGAAAGTTCTGAAATCTGGGTGCATATATATATATTTATAATCTCTGCTTAGGCTGACACTGGAGGAGACTTTAACAGACTTTAAAGAAGACTTTCCCCTTTCTGAGATAGTTCTTACACTATTACTATAACAACATTATATGCAGAATAGGTGCATGAATGTAAAATTATTCAGCCTATATATATCATGGCATGACTGCATGTTCAAATTTGGGATGCATTACTGAACAAGGCTGGGATGATGCCAGCAACAGCCTGACATGATGCAATAGGCTGATTTTATCAGCAGACTCTTCTACAGCTGTGCAGTAGGGTAGAGAGATTCCCACTCCCTGATGAATAACATTGTCCCTGTTCTGCATTTGTGCCTGTGAGCTGTACCCCACCGAATGCACAGATTTGTGGTGCAAGTGCCGTGCCCCTCCTTGCAACCCAAGCCATCAGCTGTATGGGTAAAGCAGACTTACGATTGCATTTCTTTCGGTATAGTCATTGATTCAGACCTTTGGATTTTAGCTGGACTTCTATAAATACTTCCTTAGTTACAGTGGTATTAAGAAATGCATTCTTGTGAGTCTTGCATAAACTTAAAGATGTCTTCAATCTGTCTGCACTGGTAGTCTCAATGCACTGAACCAGGGAGCTTCTAAATTACTCGAGACCATGGTACTCTGACAGAAGGGAAGGCCTTATGCCTCTTTTTACACACAAGAAATCAGTCAAATAGGTAATTTTAGAAAGGTTAGAAAAATAACTATGATGTTATACATTACAGTTTGTTCCTACTAAGTATGTGGCTTGTTTTGCTATGATCTCAGGAACGTCTGTTCCTTTTTCCTGTGGAGTTTTTGTCATGTCTTTTCTTTTTTTTCTTTTCTTGAAGACTGTTACCATTTAGAAGAAGGAATACAGGCACATAATCAGGTGCCTCTTTGGAGGTGTTGGACAATGTAGATAATAAGAAAAATTGTTAATTATTACTCTGGAATGATAGTTTGAGAAATTGATGTAAAAAAGTTCCCTGTCCAGGCCAAAAATTAAAAATCCATCCCATCAAGGAAGGTATTGATCTGGCTGTTTCTGACCTGCAGAAACGGGGCTACAGCTGGGGATGCTGTGGGGCAAATGGCAGGTATCTCCCCCGAATCGTAGTCTTTGAAGTTCATGTTCCTGCAGTGGAGGAGGCAGAGGAGGATGACGTAACCTTCATCGCTCTCCTTTTGTCCTCTTGTTTCTTTTGGTACCAGTGGATGGAGAATTAGAGCACTCCTGAGTTCAGTTTGGAAAAGTTCAAGCAGGGTACAGAAAATGATTAATAAAGTTTTGAGCTGGCAGGTTTATTTGCCAGGTGATGAACTACTGGTACGGTATTTCAGCTTGAAGGACTGAAAAATTGACTGTCGGGGGTTTTCTCCCTGGATTTCAAATTAGTTTATAGTAAGCTTGTGTCCAGGACACATGGAATAACTTATTTAATTTAAAATAAATCTACCAAGCCCCACGCTTTGACCATATGAAGTGGTCCTTCTCTTGTGGCTCCTTTCTCGGTGGAAAAATCCATCTTGGGAAATGCTTCTGCAGCCCAAAAGCATTAATTCTGAGAAAAAAAAAAAGCAGTAAATGGAGGCAAGTCCTGGCCAGAAGTGAAATGTAGCATATGATCTGCTCTCGTCCGGCATGAAGAGAGGCAGCTGGAGCCTTGTCGGGATGAGCTGCTTTCCAGCATCTGCATTTTGCACGTCTGGGAGGAACTGAACACCTGTAATTCCTGCTGCTGTCAATGGGCCAGCGCCTGACACGGCAAAATACTTGCATAAAATACTTGCGCGTCCCACTGGAGCTCACATGCACGTTGAATTTCAAGACTCAGGCACTTGTAAAGAGGTCGTTTAAAGGCTGTCAGCCCCAAACTAAGCAGTTCCCATCAATCTGGCCTTGGCTACTGATGTCTAGAATGGTAAATATTTTACTAGGCTTATATATTCTCCTTCCTTTTTGCAATCTTTCATGTATTCGTAGTATAGATGTAAAGGCCATTTTCAGTGACACTGTATTTCACTGGTAAAAAGAAAGGAAGAAAAAAAATCTTTTTTTCTCTTTGGATTTATGTCCTAGCCTTACAGTTGGTGAAGCAAAATGTAGCCCAGGGAGTTCTGTAATTTATTTAAAAAAAAAAAGTACTATATGGCCGAATTCTCTCTGCAAAGCAACCAATTATTTCAAAAGTAGACTTTTCCCTCCATAAGAGCAAGCTCAGCAGCCAAATGACTCAAAGACATTCCAGACAAAAAGACTGATAACAACCCACTCCCTTCTCCCATGTACTGGAACCCTGACTGCCTCACGCTCCCTCTTGTTTACCATAAAAAGCCACATCAGTCTTTCTCCATCCAAAATTCCTCTTCCCTAAACTGTGGCTGTTTTATTGTCGCTGCTCTCCTAATGTACTTAGACTCAGAGCTCAGGTGTCTGAAGCAGGGCCTCCAAAGGGATCTGTTCTGGGGGGCTTTTTGGGTCCTCCCCCCCATTTTGAGGCATTTTCCTTTCCCGGTTGAGGCTGTAACTAGTTACAGCATTGATTTTTGCTTTTATTCAGCATAAAAAGCTTTACTAAAACCACAGTGCAAATGAAGTTCATTCTAATCTGGCCATAAAATTTTACGAGGGATGTAAATCAAAGGGAGGAGTGGCAGCTAATGCTCTGGAAGAGTTGAGCCCTGTTCAAGTTTTCTCAGTAGGGTTAAATCCCTCCAGGAGCAATTAGCCTAACAAGCTGTTTGGTCCACTTATAAATAACGTCATCAATGGAGACGTCTGGAGGTGTCTGCTCTGTGCACAAGAGACTTTCCAAATATGCTGA